AGATATTTTATTGAGAAGATGATCACTATGTGACAGACGTTTTCAAAACCGTTTATGGTCTCCGGTACTTCCAGTCCAACGCCGACAGCATGCACAGCGTTAGAAAATCGGGCCTTCAAAATAAAAGTTTGACTTTTTCCCCAAAAAAACCTTTGGAGCACGGGGATAAACACCTTGTGGTCGACCTGGGTGGTAAGGCCGAGCACGTCTCTGTGGACCGGGCAGTGGCGTAACAAGGTTGTGATTGGCCCCGGTGCAAATATTTATTTCGGTCTCTCTCTCTCTCTCTCTCTCTCAAAATCTATTTAAAACTCATAACAAACAAAATTCCCAAAGTTGTCTTGAAATTAACTAATTAAATAAACGAAACGAAAAATATAGCCTACTTATGCAAACAACAGAAACGGAGCATTATTTATTTCTACTTGAATGTCGCACTGCACCCGCTTTGCGATTATGTAGATTATCTCATTTTGAACAGCTGGACTCAAGTATTTCACAGAACCTTGTGGTCGCTCAACAAGTTCTTTCAGAACCGGATCGTAACATGCTAAAAGTTCTATCATACTGAGAAAGTTCCCACAGTTGGGCTGTCCAAGAATCTCCCTATGTCCTCTAAAAGCCAAGTTACAAGTGGCCAGAGTGATTGTAATGTTGACAATACGCTCAAGTGCCTGTCTCCAGTCATTAGCAGCATTCCTTGCATTCCTCTCCATGTTTGCATCGATTCTCCCGTTTTTCTTCCAATGACACACGCTCCGACATGGACCTGAGATTGTGCATGTGAGTCAATCCTCGCAGACAACGCATGTCCACGCATCACTGTAGAACGGTGCACCTCGGTCTGCGAACAGCCAGCACGGCTCACAATGGGCACAGTCCAGGGTGGGGGATTAACACAGCCATGTCCGTGGCAGTTTGGTATCTGCTCTGGTAGTGGTGGTGTAATAGATCTCGGAGAAACACCTGTTTCCTTGATGTGTGTCTCTGGGGAATGGGCCGATAGGCCTACATGGGCCAGTTGCTATAATATAGCCTTTGATCTTGGCGTCGGGGGTCTCAATAGGGCCATAGAGTCCCCTATCGGTTGGGGGCGGGGCCCTTGCGGGAACTGTAGGACCACTGCCGGGCACAGCCAAATCCATCCTCGCCTCCTGGCTCATGGCTGGAGAAGAAGGTCGCACAGCCACGGATACAGCTTCACTTGTGGAGCTAGATGATGGTGAGGCAGGTGAGCTATCGTTAGCCTCCGGCTCCGGCTGCCGCTGCACGTCAACATAATAATTCTGCCGATCTTGCTGCTGCTATAGCTGTGTAGTACATATAACTTTTGATGTTGATTAAACGGTTTGCTCGTCACGCAAGGTATCACATGACATGAAAGGGAGCAAGGTCATTGGACAGACAAATAAAAAAATAATTTAGGTTGCTAGGTTACTTTGAAGACTGCGTGAACCAGTCATTGGGGACCCAAAATAAAATATATATTAAAAAAAATAGAAAAAAAAAAAATAATAATAATATATTGTAGTGCCGAGATATATGGAGTCAGAGGCGGTGCAAGGAAGGTGCAAGATTAGTAATTTATTCACAAGCGGCAAAGGACATGTTGTCGGGTCGCAGCCCGGGTCGACAAGAGAGAGAGCCAAGAGGGCACACACTATTTATAGGTAACCCATAACATGTCCGTGTGGGAACAATAACCGCAACTGTAGTTCCAAGTTTGAATTATGTCCCAGTGGTTAAATAGGTGGTCACCATACAAGCCCCCCAAGAATTCAAACATGGCAAAAAAAGATATCCCCACGTCCGTGGAGGAAGCACCACAAGGGCCGAGTAGGGTGGGGCCGCAGGAGAGGGCAGGGGCCCTAACGAGGGCGAGGGCACCCCCACCGGGGGCGGGCCGGAACGGGCCGTCGTAAGGGGGCCGCAGTAGGTGTCGCGGAGAACCCAGCAGGAAAGAGCGCAACTCGGCCGCAGGCAGACGCACAACGGCGGCGGGCACGAAGTCCTCGGCAGGCGTCGAGGTATCCCGGAAGAGAGGAGCAGTCCCCCCGGGAGGAAGGAGCGCAACCCGGCCGCAGGCAGACGTGCAACGGCGGCGGGCACGAAGTCCTCGGCAGGCGTCGAGGTATCCCCGGGAAGCAGGAGAGCGCAGACGTGAGTGGCGTCTGGATATCCCCGGAAGGCAGGAGAGGCCAGACAGGCTCCGGAGCACGCCACCCACGGGCCGATGGCAGCATGGGCGACGTCCAAAACCACCGAGGCAAGACGGGGTCAAGGAGTGCACCACCCAGGCGTCGATGAAAACGTGAGTGGCGTCTGGAACCACCGTCGAGGTGGTGAAAAAGGTAAGAGTGTCCACATGAGGTCAACCGGCTGGTGGAACCTCCTCTCCGGCACCAGAAAAAACCCTCAAAAGGGCCGATAGCCGTTAGCACTAGCCATCGTTAGCCCCACGTGGTTAGCCGCTAGCTGGCAGCCATGGGTAGCTGCCAGCCGTCGTTAGCCCCACGTGGTTAGCTGCCGGCACGCCCCGAAGAACAAACCCACGAGGTAGCAATGGGGTTGCTGGTCGACCCAGCAGGTCGTGCATCGTCCCCCCGTTGGATAGAAAGCTGATGCGGGAACGACGAGCAACGTCTCCAGCCTTCTGCGGAGCGCGCACCGAGCCTCAGTCCCAGTGCCGGTGGCAGCCACGGACGTCTCCAATCAAACCCCGGCATTTCGAGAAAGGAACTCGAGTTCCTTTTGCCGTGTTCGGCTCCGTCCCGGAAACTTCTCAAGACGTATCAGGGTCACCAGTGTAGTGCCGAGAGATATGGAGTCAGAGGCGGTGCAAGGAAGGTGCAAGATTAGTAATTTATTCACAAGCTGTAAAGGACATGTTGTCGGGTCGCAGCCCGGGTCGACAAGAGAGAGAGCCAAGAGGGCACACACTATTTATAGGTAACCCATAACATGTCCGTGTGGGAACAATAACCGTAACTGTAGTTCCAAGTTTGAATTATGTCCCAGTGGTTAAATAGGTGGTCACCACAATATATACTTTTTTTTTTTTTTGCATGGGCCCCTGGACGGCTGTGGGCCCCGGTGCAATGCACCGGCTGCACCGTCGATAGTGACGCCACTGGGACCGGGTGAAGGCGGAATTGAGACCCGTTGTTCCGGTCTCGCCTCTTCCGGAGGCCGCACAGGCAGAGGTCGTTTTTCCGGCTCCCGTGCTCAGGAGTCGTGGGGGTCGACCTGTCGTTCCTCCCCACCACGCTGACTTTGTTTACGGGTGAATTCTGGGGGGGCTCGTGTGGTGACATATAATTAGTACGTAATTCACTGTGTGATTAGTGTGTGTTGCAACGTGCACCCGTTAGTGAGGGTACCGGGGTTTGTTGTCATGCTAGCTTGTCATACAGAGCAGCACATGTACTTACCGTGTCTTGATTAACGGATAATAAAGTGTGGAAGTCCATTCTGAATACACCGCCTCTGACTCCCTTTCATCGGCTCTACACAACACTCAATTGTCCGATCGCTACCGTGTCCTTGCGATCTTGTTATAAAAACAACAACAAGTGCACGTTACTGATGCAATATGGTTGAGACCATTCAGGCTTATTCTAGAGGGGTGCAAGGAATAGTCCAAGTAGTGGGGGAGTTTTATACAATATGTTACATGTCACAAAGATAACAACGTTTAAAAAAGTTATTGTTTAATGTTTTAAGGAGGTGACGCTACTCAACCAAATCAAATCGGTGCAGTCAGTGAGTCAGCACGATAGATTCAAACCATAGATTCAAACACACACACAGAGACGAGACGAGAGGAGAGAAACAGTCGGGAGTAATTTCAAATGGCGGAAGGTAGACAGCGAAAACAGAGCATTTAATGACATTTTCTCTTACTGGACCTCTTTGAAATGCAATTGAATACTCCTGCATTATAGCAATAATAATAATAATAATAATAATAATAATTGGGAGGGGGCGCGGCTGTTCTTATGTTCTCTGAGGGGAGGCTCACCTTCCCACACTTTGAAAACCCCTGATCTAGACAGTTTTATAATGGGCCAGTCAATGAAAACCATTATTGCAAGAAAACAATTGTTGTAGAAAACGTAATACTGCATGACGGAGGTCAATTCGAACTGACTTTAAACTTTGACTAAGAAACAAATCATCTCACAGATTAGTCTTGAGCGCTAACCGGATTTACCACTTTATTTCAAGCTGTAAAAGAAAACTACATTATTTGAGAAACAGTGGTGTCTCAGTTCCTTGTTTGACAATTTTACATTTAAAAATGCGACGAGCAATTTTTCTTTTGGCATCAAGACTAAAACAGTGACTGGAGAATAACAACAGGCAGGACTACTCAATACTACAGACTGGATCTGATGAATGGTGAACTGTTCCTAGAGCTAAAACAATAAGTAAATGAAAGGGATAGTTAGACATATTGGAAAATCAGCCCGGAGTTAGCTGAGAAGATTGATGCCTCTCTCATGTCTGTTAAATACAGAAAAATAGCCAGCGGCGGGTCAGAGGTCACTGAATCCAGACAAAAAGTAGTCTGGCAGTTACTTCCATAAAAGCACAGTTTCTGTTGTTACACTACAGTTTTAAAACACAGTATAGTGTGTAGGGTAGTGAGCTTTTGAAGGAAGATAGATTTTGTAACGACAGAGCCAGGCCAGCTGTCTTCCCCCATTTCCAGTCTTTATGCTAAGCTAACTAGCTGCTGGCTTGAGCTTCATATTTTAAGGACAGATGCAACAGTTATTGACCTTTTCCATCTGATTCTAAGTAATAAAGCATCAGAGTTTTAATGACATCAAAATATTCAAATTTGTTGTTGCTGGTTGATAAACCGCACTATACTAGAGTTTACCGATATACTTATATTTCCTATGATTGACATATAATGATTTATCTTGAAGCCCTCAAAAGAAAGAATCAACCTCTAATACTACACTGTCACATTTTTATTTCTCTTTTTGCAGACTCCATGAGCAGGAGCAGGCATTGAATCTGTCCATCAAGGAAGCCACTGCTAAAGTAAGCCACTGTTCCTCTGACCCGATTAAATCCATAGCAGCTCATCCTCCCCATAGCATGCCAACAACGACTGAATGTGTGTGAATATGTAATGAGTATTAAGTCAAACTAGAAAGCATGTACTGTGTGCCAACGTCTGTGTATAAAATATGCATACATATTGTTAGTGTCTGTATTATACAAATTATTTATTTGAGAAGGCAGAGAACTGTCCATAGTTTCATGTAAGAGTCATGTAAGAGCTCTCGTCTTTCACAACAAATCTGTCAAATTCTTATGGCTATAAGCATGTGAATTAGTTCCATATTGATTTAATTTAAGCAGTTTTTCTTTCACTTTTTAGCAGCTACAGCCAGTAGATTTGATAGGTATATGTTAAGTTAGATATCTGTTAAGCCAGCACTACTTTGTGCGGTTTTCTTGTGCGAGTATTCCTTTGCATGCTTCCCTTTCTATGTGCTGTGGGTTTTTCCTCTCACTAATCTCCATACATACCTACTGTTTATCTCTGCAGCTAAAAAAAGGTAGAAGCAGCAGAAACCCATATGAGTGGTGGTTTAAGGGTAGTGGGAGTGAGGCATAGCAGGGGAGAGTGGCTCAGAAAAAACCTCTTTACTCTTACGGTGTCCTTCAGGAAGCGATCATCAAATGGTTTGTCGAAGCTGCAACTGCACCTTTATGGAACATGCAGTCTTTCCACAAGTCACACTTTTACCTCAATTTCAAGATGGTGTGTTTCTTTAAATTACTTCTATATTTGACAGAGGAGACTGTAAGAAATGGTGGCGAGAGAGAAGTATGATAGCGGGATTCAAACACATTATTTTGCAGTTATATGGCATGTGCTTTAACCACTCAGCTACCAAGGCGGTATAAGATTCTCCATTGTTGAATTGAAATGAAAACGTGTGTTGCTAAATTAGACATATCCACCATGTGCACGGCACACCTGCTGTGACAAATTAAATTGCCATGAAAGTAGCTTTCACTTTCTCAATCGACTTCTCCAAAATTGACAAATAGCCTGAGATTTTGAAATCAAATCACTCCAGTGCAGTTTCCACTTCATGTAAAGCATGAAATACAATTATGCAAGGCTGTTTGAAGAAAATAAAAAAACAGTTTTCTGTATTTCATTGGAAAGAGAACTCCCTGGAGATGTTCTGTCTCAGATATTTGACAGCCTTTTCAAAGTGTAGCACAAAACTGTGTCAGATTCAAGAGGAAAATGCGTGAGAAAATCCAAATCCCTTGGAGTGTTGAAAATAGTTCCTCAAAGGAAGGAGACGCATCACGGGTATTGTATCTGGCAGTCACTCAAAGTGAATGCGTTAGACAGAAGAGAGGTTTAAAGGGCAGACTGAGGGCAGACAGGCTGTATCTGAAGCCATCAACTCCTCTGTGAATACAGCCGAGTTAAGGTGCTGCATCCCCATCAGGACCGTGACATTCAGGGCCTTTTCCCTCTCTCTGACATTCTAATGGCATCTTTTATGGAGATTTCACATTTCCGTGTCAGTCCATGTGAAAGGCGATGTAGTCTCTTTATTTCTAAAGGTTATGGACAAGGTAACACATTGGCGTTGATGCTCTGCTGTGTATTCAAAGCAGGGCGAGCACAGGAGGACGGAAATGAATCTGTAAGGTCTTATAAGAATAAGTGTCAGAAAAGAAAATGAAAGCGGAATTGGAAATAAACTGTGCATCCTGTGGGATCCATGTGTCTGCAAAGGTTTTGTTAGTTACCGCCCTCCCCCCCGGCTCTTTTCTCAGCGTCTTCTTCTCCTTCTTTTCCCCAGGTGGTCATGAGTCAGAGGCTGGGCAGCAGCCTGCGGAGGAAAGTAAGCGAGACAGAAACTCAGCTTTTGGCACTGCATGAAGCCAAACTGGCGGCCATCTCAGGTAACTCCCGCTTAACCGTCACAATTCATACATTTCCCGTCTTCTATTTACCTCATTTACTGAAACCGTCGACCATTAGCTTCACCTAATGACGCTATTAATGATCGTGGCGCTCATTAATGGGCGTTGTAAGCTTAATGTTCTCCTGTGATGCGCTGCTGCAGGTAATGACTTCAGCAGTGCCAAGGAGATGAAGGCTGAGATGAAGGCGGTGTACCTTGAGCGGGAAAGACTGGATGCTTTGGCCAAGAGGCTACACAGCCTGAGCTCGGGGAGCAGCCAGGAGCTGGCCAGGATGAAGGAGCAGCGGCAGCAGTTCAGGCAGGAGCTGGAGCAGAGGGAGGCCCAGCACGGTGAGTCAGTCTACACCACGATAACACAGACTGTTTTCATCCCAAACGAGAAGTGGTGCTGCTGTGGGCAATACAATCCATTCTCTCACCCAAATGAAAACAGGAGAATTTATGATTGCGCTCTTTCCATTGTTCTTACCAGGGAGCAGTAATGTAGACTGAGGGGTGAGCTGATGTGTATTCCACCTGGCCGAGCATAAGCTGCAAATACAACCTAACTTTCTAGCCTTTTATGGGGCAATCAATAATTCATCTTTGTCCCTTTAAACCTGCAAATACTAATTGTCGGCCACTTGGGGGCAGTGGAAACACAACACTGACATATACACTTTCTAAGTTGATTTGAAGGCAGGAGTTAACACATCCAGCAATTACAAAGGAACATTATCATTATTTTAAAGACCCTGCCTGCCTGGCAAATGTCCAACCCTAACTCTTAGCTCCTTTTGAGGTAATCGAAGGGGAAATATATAAACCAAAATAAATGCACCGTTATCAAAATAAACTCAGGAGTTCTAAGCATTTTCCTGCCCACTGAGACTGGAAAACGTTTGTTGTATTCCGTTGAAAGGGACCTCTGTCTTTCTTTAAGTACACCTTTTAAATATCAATTGAAGTGTGCATCATGAAAGCTCTTTGGAAGACAAGACCTCTCTTGATGTTGCTCCACGCTGGGAGGACGTCAATAGACTATGACTTTTCTCCCAAATGAGGGAGAAATGATCGGCTGTCAGTAGGGAGTCAGCATCAAATGAGTTACCGGCAGGATTGGCAGTTGTTGAGAGGGAGGGAGGATGGGGGCTTGTGGGACTTGTGGGCAGGGGAAATGAGCTTTAGATTGTGTGAAGTAGCCAATTACCTCCAAGCTACTCAGTGCAGACATGAGGTATAAGCACAAGGACACTCTCCAACTACAGGAGATCTGAATGCTGCTTAAAAGAAGGTCCCACTTTTTTTTTATAGAAGAAGGAGGGGGTAGATTGGTTTGGCCTCCTGGCACTGGCGAAGAAATAAATGGACTTTGACAGCACCACCTGCAGTGCTACTCTCTCAAGTCCATCAGTCACAGGGAGTTCTTCTTTAAAAAAGGGTCACTTTACTCTCTGAGGCACTGAGACGGCAGTGCCCTGAGATGGAAGGAAGGGGAGCGGTGAAGTGATGAGACAAAAAGCAGAGCAATCAGCTATCTTACATCCACTGTTATCTATTCTAGACCATTAAAGCCTGTGGCTGCAGCATTGACCTATTGTATTGTCTCGAATGCACCCATACTGCCACAAGGGAGCACCCTTCCATTGTTTCAATTGCATCATGTTTTTAATGGGGTATAAGGTATATATTTGGTATTTTTGATAATTTAAGGTCCACAACTTAATGTTACTGTTGAAAATAACAAATAGCAAATGATGTGCCTTGTACTCTAACCATTCTGCATGAAAATCCGCCAGATATTTGATGTTAAATAACAGTCCACAACAACGAAAGACCTGTTCAAGTTCCCGTCAGTATCCTCAATGCACGGCATGCCTTACACAGAATGAGGCAGCTCTCAGGGACACAGAGGCTGAACAATAAGTGGCATGCTAAATGTTCGGGCTAAACAAAGGAACGGGAATCAGGTGAGAAAGGCTCCTTGAATTAAAGAAGAGACGGCAAATTAATGATTGGATGCGCTGTGTGCTCAAGTGGGCGTGCACAATGTGGCAGCAGGCGCAATTTCACAATGCGATGCTGACAACAAACAAGGGGCTCATTAAACTGTCAACCTTTTTGGTAATAAGGGGCTGGCACATGCTAGCTGGAAAGTGATAGCCAACAACCATCACATTAGCATTTCTTTAGCTGGAGGGGATTAGATATGACTGTACTTCAAAGTCAAGATGGCCATCCTTTTGGTTTCTGAGGCATTTCTAGCACATCTTTGTGACACTTGTGTCTTCTTATAACGAGGAAACCATGTGGCTGTTCTTGAAAGGGCCTATTGTCATGAGCTCTAAAGAAACCTAGTTCACCTGATACCTCCATGCACATGCATCCACTTAAACCACGCAGCTTTAGCTTGTTGAACATCTCCGCCCAGCGTACTTTGTGGTGTGTTTTTTTTTTGGCCTGGGAGCCATTAAGTCCTTAATTGCCATTGACGCGAGTGCTGATGAATACCAAACCCATTATAGCCGGAGGTTTGATTCCCTGTGGAGAGTATAATTTTGTCCCCAAGAGAGATCTGGAGTGATACTACATTTACCAATAAATAATTGAAGAGCTGAGTAAATGACCCCCAGGAGTGAGGACATTCAAATGGGAGGCAGTGTTGGTGTCTGTTCCCTTTTGATTTATACAAGTATTCTGCCAATGCTTATTTAATGCTTTTGTTAGTATGCAGTCGGTATATTCTGTAGCAGGTAATTTGGCCCTCTGCGGTAAAGATAGGAGTTTGTCTTCTCCACATGGCTCCACTAAAACACATCTTATTAGTTTTTTGCTACGTCTTCACCATCTATTATTCTTCATACAGATCCCACTTCAGTGTCATCTCTGTCTTGAGTGTCAACTCAACTGTGGATATGAGTAAAAAGTTGAAGTGTACATCAAAATACTGCATCTATGTGTTATTAAACAATTGCAATTTCCTCTTAATGGAGAGCCAATAATAAAGACGAGGACATATATGATTTATTCATGACTGTGCCTCGTTCAGTGTCTGAATGATTGAGAGCGGTGTAGTGGTTAAGTGGACCTGAGAGAATGTTTCCTGTTTTTTTATTCTTTGAAATGTTGACAGTATTCATTTTTCCTGAGATTCAGAAGAAGATGTCATTCTATTGTTAGTATTAAAGTGTCCATACCCATCAGCATCACTTTAAAAACAAAGAGAATTTGATTGAGGTACTACTGCAATAGTTCCCACTACATAACTGTTTGTTTGTAGCCATCACAACATGTCAGTTTACTGCTTTGTTCCAGATTGAAACGGCTAAACAACTACTGGTTCATGATTACACATTAGATATTTGTAATTAGTAAAGTTGCCAAGCTAACACACTAAACAGAGATGGTAAACACATGAATTAGTGTTAGCATTGCTATTGTGAGCTAATTAGCATGATGACATTACCATAAAGCAGCTAGCATGGCTAGTTTAAACAAAAACTTTAATTGAGGTGGCATATTCAGAAGAGTATTTTTTGGCGGAAAACACTTTATTTCTCTTGTGCTAATGTGGTTTCTCAAAATATGCTAAAGAAATAATAAGATGCCACTTAAACAGAGCAGGATTTTGAGCGGGTGAGCTGTTGAGATAGCATTTTAAAGTATTTATGGTCGCATTTTGGGACAGTTCTCCATGGTTTAGCTTTATAGTTTTATTTTTCAGCCCAGAGCAAAGTAAGTCAGAGTCTCTTCTAAACAAACTCAGTTTACTGAGTTTTACTTGAGTTATAATGACAGTGAGGATGTCAAAGATTTCAGTCAGCAATTCAGTACCAATAACTGAAATATATGTATCCACCCAAGCACAGATTCTCTACACATAACTACATTTTTGTCAAATTATTTATTTTTGTAGTGCATTTGGGCATAGCCCCACAATATGTTACAGCATGCCAACATAAATACGTTAACTGCTATGCTGTTGTCCCACAGCCTAAAGCATCATTGCCTATTGAGTGTTCGTCTGAGATATCTGTCTGTCCCTCCTCCTTCATTAGCCATGCTGCCTGGCTGCTGTTAAGTTCAGATGAGAAGTTCATACAATCTGAGTGTCAGCATATGCTGACTGGGTGTTTGTGTTACCTGCAGTGCTGTTGCACTCAAGCAGCCCTAGCTGAGCTTAAACACATTAATCACAGTCGGTGCCTTCAACTCAATTATAAAAGACACACAATTTATCTTCTGCCCTATTATGCGCAAGGCTTTTATAACACGCATATCAGCGGTGCTGTGTTAGCACGGAGCCGCCTCTAATTTGTTCTACAACACGAAAGCCTCACAGATGCTGGGTGCCTTTATTGTTAGGCAAAGAAAAAATGGCTGCATTATTCACTTACAATTAGAGAGCTGTTCAAATGTTCATAACTCAGCAGCAAATCTAAACACCTTGCCATCGTTAAATTCTGCAGGCTCATTAAAGCCCATTGCTTCATCATCGGGAATTGTGCATCACTGTGCGATACATCTGCTCCATTTGCTTTGTCTGTTTGATTGTAATCATCAGCTTTATCGTTTTTATCAACTTTGTGGTTAAGTAATTGGCTTTTCATTAGAATAATTAATGAGTATTTTGACCAATATTAAGCAAATGACTTTTTTTGCAACATCCAGTAACACATTCTTATCATCTGTCAATTGTGTGTCACTTATGTTTGCGTTATGAATGAATGGCCCCTTCGATTTTGTCCGGGGTCTTTGGCAGCAATCAGTGATGTTAAGCGCCCGCTGAGATCAGTGGTGTGAGGGGAGGCTGAGCTCATGAATTTTCCAGTGCAGGCTCTGTGAATGCCTTTGTGAGGTTCCCTCAACACCAAATATAGTGTTGCATGTATCAGGGAGTAACAGACTGCCTCTCTTCTTTATGGGCTTTTTAGTGCCGATTTTATTCTCATGGTCTGCCAATGACAGCAGCCTCCCGCAGACTTACAGGAAGTGGCAATATCACCCGGTGCTCTGGTTCCACTCAGCGCAGGAGGAGGCTCTGCTGCTTGATGTCTTGTCCCATTCTATAAAGAAAATATTATTTTCATCTGTCACGCCAGAAGAGGCTCACTAGTATTGCCACCGGTTGGCATGGCGACAGCATGGCACACTGCCTCGCAGTATCAGCATAGATAGAAATATTGAGTTAACAGTTAATACACTCAAGTCTGCATCTCTCCTCTGTACATGCTCTTCATCATAGACTGTATCTATTCCTCACAGTATAATATTTCTAAATCTGGCTCTTGTTTGAGCCTTAGTCATCTCACATCTGTACATGCTCTTTGCCATCTGAAGTCAGGCTTAATGCCCTCCATGTATAATTCAATGGTTTTCTCCTTGCACGCTGCCTACCAGAGCTGGCATGAAGGGAAGTTGACACGGGAGACTCTGTCAGGTGGGATAGGATCTCACATAGCAATTAGAGGCGTGGTAAGTGAGCTGTCTGGTCCACGTAGAGCAGATATGTGATAGCTTCTCCTCCTTCCTCCACCCTCTGATTGAGAAGATTTGGCCACTTTGAATGGAAATGACTGAGCCAAGATCTCGCTTCCTGTGGCTGTGACACACACATACCAAATAAATAACCTGACTATATCCATCTCATTTCTTCCCCAAAGTATAAAAAGGAATACGTGTATGAGTGTGTGTCACAGTCACTTAGTCTGAGGCTTTTTTCTTCCACCCCCCGTTGTGCAAGCTCCCAGCTTGTCTCATCCTGGAGCTGATGCTGTCTAATAACCACCATCAAGACAATGATACAAATTATATTTCAAACCTCAGTGTGATTCAGAACACCCAATTAGGTGACTTTCTCTCTGTGTGAGCGAGCTAAGTGTCTTCCAACAACTTTTGGCTTATCTTTCTTTAAAATGTAACACCTTCTACTTCATCGTCGGTTTTTAAAGGGATATGTACTTGTTAGTATTAATGACTCTACTCTACTATTTTTGGAAATAGGTTTTTGGCTTTATTTGAGAAATGTGATAGCACGATCACCTAACAGTACAATTTGAAGCTATACATTTTGGTGACCTTAGTTTACCCAAAAACATGAAAATAGGGAAAGCTTAGCGAGCCAGCACCTGTAAAGCTGACTAATTAACTTAGAAGTAGTCGCCTAACACCCCCATGAATCCACAACGTTTCACTTTTACACAATATTTGTTGTACAAATTAAGAAAATAAGATACGTGTTGATTAGGCTTTGAGCTCTACGTCTCTGGAATAATCTCTCACTGCACAAGCACTGCTGATATTTATATTTGTTTTCTTTTCACTGTGACCTTTACTTTACATTGAGATCAGTGTGTATGTGTGTATATGTTTTACTCAATATTTTGTGTTTTCTTTTCTGCTGTTGTTTTTTAATTACTTATAAAGTGTACTGGGACAGTGTGCTCTAAATTAAACTTACATTGAAGTGTGATTAGTACACTTTAGAGGTGCTTGTATGGATATTTAGTTTGGTAAAAGGCATGTTAGCGGTTTTAATTTTAACATTGCTGCTAAGCTAACCAGCTGCAGTCTGTAGATTTATATTTAATAGTGTTGATTTTGTCTTGTAACTTTTGGCCAAGAAAGCAAATACATGTATATCCCAAATGTGGAACAAATATTATATATTTTCCTTCTCAGTGTGTTTAATATTGTCAAAACGGATAAAAGTATAACATATTTTGCAGGAGAATAGCACTGATAAAGTAATGTCTGAAAAATAGCCCAATGTACCCCACCAGAGTGTGGGAAAGCACTGATTCTCATGTTGAGTTGTACAGATGCTGGGATGGGAATATTATTGAGGGCAGCTTGTTGTGAGTGTGGATTTCAGTGGGAAGAAGGAGGTAGTATCGAACATTATAGCCTGTGTGCACATATATATATATATATGCAGCCCATAATTTGATATAAGTGCATCCTATTGTGTTCAAAGACCTGTCGCTGCGGGGGGCATATTCTCATGTTTCATACATGAGCTCATTAGCGGCGTTCAGATTGCCCTCCTCCCCATCCTGACTAACACCCAGCCAGCCTGCGTCTGCCTCCTCAGGCACAGCTCACTTCTGGCAGGAGGGCGCAGGAAGCAACAGAAGCTATCTATCTAACTTCATGCCGCACAGAAAATCTGGCACTGTATAAGGACCTATGCCATGTTAGAATCCCCTTTTATCCTCAGGCCGTCTCCAATTTGATCCCCTCTCGGAGCAGTGGGAATGATGTTTCCTCGATTGTGTGTTTGTCTTAAGAGAGAGCCAGCTGGGCCTTTGTACTGTACTGCACTGTACTGTACGGTACTGTACTGTTGCAGGTTCTCAGCGTAAGGCACAGCCCATATATAAAATAGCTAATGACAATTCAGTTTTAATGGTATTAGAGCTGTGATTTGTTGCTAGGTTACCCCATCATGGCTAATAAAAGTACGAGTAACAGGCTGTTGTTCCCTCTGCTCCTCTCCATGCAGAAAGCCGGCTCAAAGAGAACACTACCGAGTACATCAGGCTTTTGGAGGACAGATTACAAAGGTAAGAATGTTTTCTGCCGTTTCTATTTTTTTGTAAAAACATAATAGAAAAAAACAAACCAAACAGACATACAGAACAACAGGCTCCAAGGAATTCCTCCAGCCTTGGTTGTCCTCTAACCAGAACAATACATCACCTCAGCCGCCACATCATGCACTCACACCTTTTTATTGTTCCGTTTTCTCCCAGAGCTTCATTCTCACATTTCACTCCGTCTCTCACCTGCACAATTTGTCTTCCTCTTCCCACCTTCTCACATATTGTCTTTACCTGTTATTTTCTATACCTCCACTTTCATTTCAAACCTTTATTTATGCAGGTGAATCCCATTGAGATCATTGATCTCTTCTTCAAGGGTGACCCACTTCAGCTCAGTTTCCACCCCCCCCCCGTCTGTGTAAACTATTTGAGACAAAACAATATCTCCACTGTTTCTATCTGCGTCTCCGCGGCCCTAAATCACAGAGGACTGGTCTGCTGTTGCGGGTGGTCGCCCAGCACGTCAGACTGTTACACAACAGGATTGTGATGTGCTGAGAGGCTGACTTTTTTTCTAACTGCGCATGTGGGACAGAGTCAGGCAGAAACGTATCTTTGCAGCATTAAAGATTCATTTCGGTTTTACATATGGAAAATAGATAAGAGTTTTTGTGTACACCACATGAGGTGTGCTTTGTACTGAGTTTGTTCTTCCTAAACGTTCAGAGGGGAACGTGTATTCTGTCTAGACTTGTTTTGAGCCTGGAAAAGCCTATATTTTCAGAAAGCCTGTTTGTCTGCTCTCCCCATGTTTTTGTTTGTTGTCTTTGTAAGAGGGGGTAGATTTCTGTGTTGCATGCTTAGAGAGGCAGGGTCACGTCTTTTGGATGGGAGCCAGAAGTCAGTCTCACACTGCAGTACTGTTTGTTGTTGAGGGTTACACAGGCTGCAGCTCTGCTTGGTCAAGGAGTAACATGGCTGCGATCTCAGTGCCCAGCAGGGGGGAAAGGCCGGGACCTTTTCAGTCAGTAGGGCAGATGGCCGCTTTGTGTTTTGATTTGAAAGTTGTTGAGAGTATCTGTCTATGCAATGACAGACGAGGTAGATTAGAAGAGGTATTTTACAGACTGGGTACAACCACAGCATATATAGACTAATCACACCATAACAAGCCTCCAACTCAGAAACTTTAAAATAAATGTGCACAACAAAGTTATATCAACAGGAAAAACTTGCAATGGCTTCGACCAACTATGCACATGCATCCATGCATTTGTGAATTCACACACACTTGACCGCCATGCCAAATCGCGGCCTGCTTGGTCATATGTACAGCACTTTGGCTCGACCAAAAATCGTTTATAAATGTGCTATATAAATAAAACTTGATTTGATTTGATTTGAATGAGAAATGTTTGGACTGACCGACAGACAGGGTGATCTATTGTATACAACTGCTGGTGGCAGCCTCAAAAGAGTGGTCAAATAACTTTAATTTTTGCACTACTGTATGAACTTGTCAAAATATGATGTATTTTACTATTCCCAGATTGCAGCTCAATCCCCGTGTTTTCCTGCCTGGTAAACGCCTATGTGTTTCCACCCTTCCAGTTTGTATAAAAGCAATAGCTAAAAGCAACAGCTAAATACCATGTCTTATAATATAACGAAATAACATAAACACACAATGTCACAAAAACTTGAACACTAGAAATGTCAGATTTCTAGTATGAAAAATGTGGCCACCAAAGGGGAATTTATCTTCAAAGACTAAGAGCGATCTATAGAGCTGCTGGTCACAGGCAGAAGTCTCCAAGCCCAAGCTGAGATAACCCGATGACATCATGAAAAGAGTACTTCTGAGCTTCATGTGTAAATTAGTGACCTTTAAATAACTATATCAGTAAAGGATTTAATGCTAAACCTGTGAGCCTTTTTAAGTCTACCAATATTAATACAACTAAAATACATTAGTAAAGGCCGGCTACTGGTTGCTTATATCCTGTGATCCTACCTTTTAGTTTCACCATCAGATATTATTGTTTTTTTAATTATTATTATAGTTTTTTTGTTGTACTTTGTTAGAATTATTAATTTGAGTGAGAAAAAAAAGGAAAAAAGAGAATATATATATATATTATTGTTGTATGTTTTTGTTTCTGACATGTTCAATAAATTGACTAATAAAACTGATCATATAGACCACATGCATCTAACAACATCACTTTTGAAGAACAAATCACATTGAAAGGACAGCTTCTTGGGCATTGGGTACTGTAAACTACTTTTTCTGCCCATCACATTCTATATACATTAATTGGCTCTCCAGCTTTGCATCAGCGTATTTCACCAGAGGCAGTCCACATCAAATTACAAATGCAGCTTTCCTTCCTGGGCGAGGACCAGTAGCTCCCCCCAGGCCCAGTCTGGCACAGTGACACATATTCGGCAAGATTGAACGGCCAATTGCCACCACATTTGCACATACACACACACATTCGGATAGCCGCATGCACCCATCACCCACTGTACATTTGATCACTCTAATGTACGTTACTGTTGATGGAGTGCGGTGGTGATGGGAGGTGAGGAGAAGAGGAGGGGGGGAAGGGAGGAGAGAGGCAGATTAGTACTGGTGAGATGTCTCGTCTCCGTGGAGACGGATGGTGTTGAAAAAAACAATTATCTCTTATTTGCTAAAGACGAGAACAGGATGTTAGAGCAGCACAGATGCTGTAAGTGTGTCACCAGAACAAAAAATATTTTTTTTAATTCAGATTAGCAGCACCGCACACTTGTTTAATACATTATGTAGATGTTTAATTAGGAAATGCCTTTCGAATATTTCCTACATTTATGCGTTCTTCTGTTGAGATTTGGATGTCATTTATCATATTTAATGGACACAATCCAACTGGTGTAGAAGTCATTAAAATTGCGAGAGCCTCGAAGAAGGGTGTGAAAAAAACCCTCTCTTATCACTCTTAACGTACACAACTGTGAATGTACAACAGTGTTTCTAACAAAGGGACATTGGTTGCTCAGCTTTCAGCTGTAAAACCTCCCCAGACACCAAGCCACCCACCTTACAAACCTTTCAGTTCACCATCACACCTCATAAGGTAGTCACCCCCATGCATTTCCCTGTAGTATTAGCACCTCTCCGCGGCAGGTGTTATTTGAAATGTTGCTGCATGTTTTAGGCGAACATGTTAACGTCTCCTTTTGGCTTAAAATGTGTGGATTTCTATTGTGTTCATGGCTTTTGGGGATGCTTGATATCAGAAGCGCTGGCATTAAACTACAGGTGAAAGTCACATTAATTTCATTTTTATTCAGGGTAGTAATTAGGCAGGGAAATGAGTTATCTTTAGATAGCAAAAAACAAATCCAGCTGTGACTGACGATAGAGGCTGTTTGTCATTTGTATTCATGTGTGACACGTGAAGATGCAGCTGAAGATGGAGCTGAACAATATATATTATCTGATTCTGGGTGGAGGTCAGAATACTTCTCCCTCTGGAGAGGTCTAACTACACCTACTGTCAGCAGCAGGACCGGACCACTGCTCCTTCCTTCACCAGTTTTATTTATAATCCTTCCTCTGCCTGTCTGTACGTAATGCCTTAAAGAGCCTGTGACAGCATCCCAACAACTGTTGTGCAATGAAATATTGGGCTACTAGTAATCTCGAACAGTCAGTTTAAAAAAGAAAAAGCGATACCGTTCCGTTAAATATCAATAATTTCGAACATCGCGGGGAAATTCCTTCGACTCATTTTGAAGTTTTGGGGGAAGCCGGAAGTGACGTCAATGCGGGAACGCTTCACTGTGCGGCGAGAGAGCCGAACACGGACAAAGTGTGTTGTCATGCGTAGAAATGGTGAATTACTGAGTTTAGGCACGTTAATAACGTTTTAATGAAGTTGACTACAGTATATTCATATTTGTCAGTGCTTTCATGTCAATTCGGCGAACATAAACATAAATGATCGTGGTGAAGATGATGATTACATTAGGATTAAAAATCGGTAGTGAGAGCTGCTGAATTTCCTCCCGTAGGATGTGATATAAAAACAAATCGATTATTTTTGTAGTTGTAAACTCAAGTGGATGAAACTACATGTATTAGTGCTTTCATGTAAATTCGGCGAACATATGATAGATTAAATGATCGTGAGAATGATGATTAAAAATCGTTTGTTTGTGCCGGTCTGCATTTCCTGATGAGAAAACAAACCGATGCTTTTTGTAGTTGTAGTACACCAACATGGATTAAACGTGTGTTTTTTTCACCACAATGTTGGGGAAATTAATGGATAAAATGCACGGATTATTAGGGCCCGAGCACGAGAGTGCTAGGACCCAACGGCGTCCTAGCACGAAGTGCGAGGATCCCTATTGTTATTCGTGGAATTATTAGGGCCCGAGCACGAGAGTGCTAGGACCCAACGGCGTCCTAGCACGAAGTGCAAGGATACCTATTGTTATTCGTGGAATTATTCTTATTTTTCTGCTGGCGTTTCCTGTTTTTGAGGCCTTTAGGACGCTGAAAAAGTTGTATAATTTTGCACAGATTCCAGAATCGGTGAAAACTACAATATTCTGGACTCAATTTTTTCACATTGTTCAACATGCTCTCTAGCGCCACCTATGGCCATTTCCGTTTTTGGAAAGATGTACAAAGTCGCACCGTAACTCCAAATGACCTGAAATGTTTCACACTTACTCGGGTGGACCTGCTCTACATATAATGTCCAAGTACCCGTAAGCTCCGCCTACTTTATTTTTTTTTAAATTAGCATAATTTGAAAAACAGTTAAATATTCACTTAAATTTCAAATTTTGGTTTTTCAACACCAAACTCAGTATACAGTATCGCCGGAGGGTCAGACACATTATCGTAGGAAATGAGCATGTTCAGTCGATAAATGTGGCCCTCATTACTCTAAACGTGTTCGCAAAAAGGCGGGGCTTAGATAGAAATGCTCATAACTCATCAACAATGTACAAAAAAAACA